TGATGATCTTCTATTAACACATCTTAATATGATTGAAACTTTATTTAGTTGTATTGATAATAAAATGATTGATGCTTTAGAAGGGGCAATAGTTCCAAAATACTTATTAAATAAATATAAAGAAATTAATCCTCAAATTGAACAATTACCAGAACCAAATAATCTTCTTTTGTTTATTATTGCTACGTTAATGATTTATTTAAAAGCAAATAAAAAAATTGTTAATACTTCAAATAAGAATGGAGTTTTTAAATATCAGTCATTAATAACTAATATTTTAATTAATATTTTTACTAATTATCAAGAAAATCAAACAATAAAGAAAATTGGTATTTCTCTTCAATACACTATATTATCTTCATTTGCTGAATCTATTACATCTTCTCCTAAATTACAACTTCATTTATTATCTTTAGTTAAATTATTAATGAAAGGTAGTGATATTACTCATCCAGATGAATGTATTACTAGATATCCTTTATTTATTCAAACATTAATTAGTGGTATTTCTCAAGAAAAGAATATTTATCGTCAACATTTTCTTAGAATGATTGATGATTGTGTTTCTTATATTCCATCAACAGAATATAAAACTTCTGTAATTTTATTGATTCAGGCATTATCAACTATTCTTAATCAAATATGTACTGTTATGTCTCCTCAAATTTTATTATTATGTGATGAAATTAGTCCAATAATAGACATTCAAAGAAAGCTTTTTGAGTATTCATTAAACCTATTTCCTTATAAATCATTATATGAAGAAAATTCAAATCCTCAATCTCAACAAGTTAGTGCAGGCCAACAAATAGGAAATGCTGTGCTCTTTGTACCTATGTTAGTTGTTTCTGTATTTTTTGATGTTAAAGGTACAAAAGAAAAACAACCAATTCAACAATATTTCCTTACATCAACAATGAAACAAATCATATTAACATATTTTGACTTATATGAATTTTGTATAAAAGCGACTAACCTATTCTTAGTCCAAACAAATTGTGTTGCTTTTATTGAGAAAGTCTTTAATACTTTTCCTTTAGAATTTGTCTCAAATTATCTTATTATTACAAATGAGTTCTCTGATGAACACATTTCTTTATTTAAATCATTTGATAAAGAGTCAATAGTAAAAATGTTATGGTCTTTATTAGTTATTAGTGAAACAAATATGTATTTAGAAATTCCAAGAAAACAAATATTAAATTTCCTTCAAATTTTAATTTCAAAAATTATTTCTCCAATAGAAATTTATCGAACTCAAATGTATATTCAGTCAATTATTAATTGTTATATCAATAATGATGAATTAATATTTTCTAGTATTCATACAATTAAAATCTTTTTGGATGCTATTAATCAAAATGATATTAAACTTCAAATGAAACTTGAAAGTGGTTGGCAAGAACTAATCACTAATGTTCTGAATAAATTTATGCTTTTTATTCATCAATGGAAAGAAAATAGTCAAACTATTAAAATTAATCAAAAAAGAAAGAGTATTTCATCTGTTTTATCAACGCCAGAACATCTTAGTGAATCAAGTGAAGGTAAAACACCAAGAACAAGTGAAGTTAATGAAAGTAAAACATCATCAAAAAATAGTGAAGAGAGTGAACCAAGTATTGTTAATAATGAATTACTAATTAATTCTGATGTTATAAATATAATCACAAATGATATCATTCCAATTATTTCTTTTGTATTTGATGATTACTCTATTTCAACAATGATTGATTTAGGAAAACAATTCGAAAATAATTTACTTCATCCTTGTAATGATATGGGAATAAACATTGCTTCTCTTAATGTTCTCATTGAATTAGCAAAAAGAAACCAATTAACAAATAAATGGAGTAAACTTGTAATAAATGTTTTTACAAATGAAGATTTCTTTACTAAATCTCCAACATTATTAAATTTATGGAAAATACCAATATATTCAGTTTATACAGCTAACGGTGCACGTCCACTATTTGATATGATTAATAATATTGGTAAATCTGGACAATTATTTACTACAAAAGAAAATGAAATTCCAACACGAGCTAAAATATTTAAAAGAGTTGCATATTTATTACTTTCTGGAGAAAATGAAGTGTTTGATACTTTTATGGATCAAAACCAATTATTAGTTGAAATCTTATTAGACAAGTTAATCGATACTATAAAACAATATCCTTGTACACAAATTTATATTAACGGTTTATTATTATTGAAAGTAATGTTATTAAAATGTTCATTCACAAGATTAAAAAAGAGAATGCCTACAATATTAAATGAATTAATTACAATATTTAATTTACCATTTGACAAAGATCCAATGATTATTCTAAGTGGATTACAATTATTTGATATGTTACAAATTATTCCAGAGTGTTCAGTTGATATTTATTCTTGGATTTTCTTTTTACCTTATTCACCAGATGAACTTATTAAATCAAAATTTAAACCACTAATACCAGTATTAACATTAAAAAGTGAAATTGACTGTTCTGTTGATCAACCAGATATTACATATAATGGACTGACTCAACTCAGAGAATTAATTTTCAAAGATAAGTTTATTAATGACATGCAAGAATATCAAATTTTACGAATGAAACTAGGTTATTATACTAAAGATCTTTATCGAATGACCTCTCGTTCAGACAAAACTAATTTTGATTCAGTAACGAGAGATATTATGGATACTTTTTTTGAAATAAAATGATGTTTATCCTTTTTTATTTCATTTAAAAATTGTTTCTTTTTTCAAGTAAAGTTATTTTAACTGACAAAAAAAGGTATAGAGAGATCTTAATAATTATTGATGAACTCATCACCACCAGAAATACCTGAAAGTTATTCTGTTCCTGAATATTTTGATGATAATGTTTTACTTATTGTTAGTAATCCTAATAATTCAAGTATTCAAGTTCAATATGATGTTGGAGATAAATATAATAGATACTCATGGATAGGATTATTTGATATTAATGAAAGTGATAATAGAAAATATTTAAAATATAAATACATTAATAACTCAAAAGGAATTATTGAATTTAATTCACTTTGTGAAGGTCAATATGATATTCGTTATTTTCCAACAAATGAAAGAAATATAGCTGCATCTTCTATTGTGCTTGGTACTCCAATTCAAATTAAAGAAGTTATTCAAGAAGGACAAACATTAAAAATTGAAATAGAAAATCCACGTAAAAGAGATATATGTTTACAATTATATAAGAAAGGAATAAAAGATCGTGTAACTGTTTTATATGAAACAAATAAATGTAGTGAATGGTCTAATTCTACTTCATTTATAATTAATATTAAAGGAATATTTGGAAATTATACATTAATTCCAAAATATAAAACATCTTATTTCACTGTTTGGAGATATTATGGTATATTTCTTATTCCAATGCGCTGTTATATATCACAAGGAGCCAAAGATATACAGTTTTGAATCATTGAAATTTTCTTTTAATTATCTTTTATAATTTTTTTATCATAAATTTATTAAAATTAATTAATAAGAACTTAAAAAATGTATTTCAATGAAAAATTTGTTTCGGACAACATCATTTACTCCAATGATTAAAGTTTCGAATAATGGATTAGTAGCTGTTGGTGGAAATAATATTTGTTATGTAACAAATCCAACAAATAATTTTATTACTAATTTTGATATGCCATTAGACCAAGACAATGTTGATGTAGGTAATTTTGAACCTTCAAATTTAATTTTTCTTGTTCCATCTAATGAAGCAAAGAATAGCATTCATACTGTTACTTCAATGTGCTGGAGTAAAACTAAAAGTGGTGAACAAGAACGATTGTTAGTATCTTGGAATTGTCATTCATTAGTTGTTTATACAGAAAAAACTGAACAAACAACACCATCTTCATTATGGTGTATATCAAATAATATTTCACATACAATTAATTTATATTTTAAAGAGTTATGGGAGAAAAGTGTAGAACATAAAATAAATAATGAAGAATATATTAAGAGAAAATATTCATTATTTATTGTAGATGCACAATTTACTGATAGTAATGATATTGCAGTATTAACAGGAAATACATTTATGATATTATCAGAGCCTTATGACTCTATAATTTCTATTAACTTAAAAATGTATTCAAAACATTTTGTTTCATTTCAAAAAAATAAAGTCACATATTTTATATTTGGAAGAATTGATGGATGTTTAGATTTATTAGAATTTAAAAACAAATCATTCACTTTTATTAAAACAGAAATTATGGAAAAAGATTATTGTGTTCCACTTTCAATTATTAATTATCAAGATAAAATATTTGTATTAAAGTCAACTCAAATAAAGATTGTAGACCTTAAAACATTTCAATGTATTTCTTCATTAGAAATAGGGCTTTGTACTACATGTTGTTTTAATACAGATACATCACTATTGTTTCAAGACTACCAATTTAATATTAAGAAATTAAATCTTAATAATAATGAAATTAATACTATTGCAAATAATATTGTTTCATTTGATTTATCTTCTGAAGGAAATATTTATTCATTAGTTCCATTACAAAACTCATTAAGTAGATCAGTATTTCCCAATCATTTATTAGTAATTTATAAAAGAGAGAAAGGAATGGAAGAAGAAATAAAAGAAAATGAAATATCTAAAATTCATGAAGAACTTAGTTCATTATGGAAAGAATATGATTTGAATTTAACAAATTTAATAACAGAAGACAGTGTTATTAGAAATGAATCAATAAAAGAAATTAATCAATTACAAATAGATATTACTGCAAATATTTTATTAAAATGGATTAGTTATTTAAGGTCAGAAGGAATTCTATTATCAAACTTACCAACATTTACTCATGAATTACTTCAAAGATATTTTTGTTTTATTGGTAACTATGAATTACCAAATTGGACTAACGAATATAAAGAAGCGTTTGAATATAGATGTCCATTATGTAAACAATCTTGTATTATCGAAAAGAATCAAATTGTATGTCCATTGAGCCACCGTTTTAAACTTTGTGTAATAACTAAACAACCAGTAGTTAAAGTTTATAAATCTTGGAAATGTATGAGGTGTAATAGTTGTTCAATATTTCCATTACTTTCATCACAAGAACAAGAATTATTAAAACCATTATTAAATACAATTCATTGTACATCATCGACATGTTTTTATTGTGGCTCAGGACTAAAGAATTTGCTTTATATTTAAAAGACAAAAAATAACAAAATAGGAAATTATAATTGATTTATAACTTGGAATAATCTCTAACAACCCTATCCTCTTCAAGAATTTGCTTCACAAATGGATCGTTATGAATATCTCGCCAACTATATCTTTTATCTTGGTTATAAACAATAAGACTCTTTATAATTCGTTTAATACCTGGAATTGTTTTCCATACGTTATCGTCATATATCGGTACAACCTGATGTCGTATATTTTCTATAAACCTTTGTCTATTAGCACTAAGTGGATAAGTGTGAGTACGTAAGAAATAAAGTAATCCTCCTAGTGACCATAAGTCACATTTATAATTATATTGAACTCCATTAAATACTTCTGGTGCCATAAAAACAGGAGTTCCAACATAACTTTTCATCATTTGATGGTTTTCAACAATTTTAGATAATCCAAAATCAGCAATTTTAATTAAAGGTATACGAGGATTATTTGGATCAACTTTTAATAAAATATTTTCTGGTTTTAAATCACGATGAACAATATGATGTTCGCTGTGAAGATACCATAATCCTTTTAATATTTCTGATAATGTATGTATCATTAAATAATCAGGAAATGGATCAACTGGATAGGATTTCTCAAAAAAACTTTGTAATGTTCCTCCATCACAAAATTCAATAATAATTTCTGCATAATTTCCTTTTTGTGATCCTATAAAACTTTTCAATTGAACAAATGAGTCATACATTTGAATGACATTAGGATGTTGACATAATGCCATAATATCAACTTCATTTTGAATATACTCCATTTCTCCACCATTTATTAGCATTTCTTTAATTGCAACAACACGCTCACCTCTACGAGTATTTTGAATTGCTTGATAAACAACTGCAGATGTTCCTTCCCCAATACTTTCAATAATTTCAAAATCTTCAGGTTTACTTCTAAATTCCAAAAAAGTTGCTTTACGAGCAAGTTTTAAATATTCATCTTCATAAGTATAGTCCCAACTTACGTTTTTTAATAAAATCATTTCAACTAATCTTCTAACTAATGGATTTTTAAATTCTGGAAAACGGATACACTGTCCAATAGAATTTTCTATTAATGACCTTAATGTAACTTTTGGTGAATATGGTAATTTACCTGTCCATAATTTTGTTATAAGTAATGCAAATGTAAAAAGATCAGCTTTACAATCAGTATTATTTCCATTTCCTTCTTTAGCAAGAATTTTTAATTGACTTGGTGAAATAAACATCTTTTGTTCTAAAGAAAATGTTTGAGTAAAAATTAATGGAATATAATTCATTAATTGGATTTGATACATTGGTGGATTACTTCCAGGTATAATTGATATAACAATATTAGATGGATGCAATGAATATACTTTAATATAATCAGAAACATTTCTAATTGAATTTAAAGCCATCCACACTTGTGAAATTATAGACATAGCTTTGTCTCCATTTAAAATACTATTTGGTTCACTTTGAAGAAATTGGTCTAAAGTACATGGAATTAAATCTGATTCAAAAGTTAAAATACCTCTTGACTTCTATTAATGAATACCACTATTTGTATAACTAATAATTATAAGTTACAAACTAATTTTTTTGAAAATAATTTTTTATCATCATACTCTGGTTGTTGGTATCTCCAATTTCTGTACTGAAGAAGATATGGTGAATTTATTCTTTCTAATATACTTATAATTTTTGCTATTTCAACCGGGTCCCAAAGCCCATAGACTGTATATAATAATCTGTCACGTTCATATTTTACTAGAAGTGGGGAATCTCCCTCCATGAACTTAGAATTAATAATTTAAGTGTTATTGGAAAAAAAAAATATTTATTTATTTATAATATATAATTCATTTTACTATTTAAAAATTGAGTTCAAAATATTTATAGAAAAAGTTAGATTAAAATGTCTTAATAAAAAGTAAAATGATGTTTCCATTTTTGTTGAAAAAAAAAAAAAAAGAAAGTGAAAAGAAAAAAGTTGAAAAAATGAACAAAATCTCTTTTATTTGTAGATGATTTTTTCTTTTCTTATTCTCTGTCTCACAATAATTTTAGGACTAATATGTTTTGTTACCGTTACATTCTTTTTACTCTTTAAATATTCTCCAAAAGTTCCACCACCTATTCCAGTAACTACTCCTTTAAATTGTCCAAAAACAAATCAAATACCTGCTTTTGTTTCTGATTGGTTTAATAATACACCATTAAATGAAGTATCTTCGTTATGTATTATTCAGATAGAAAGTGAAGAAACAAGTGGAGTATTATCCACTGATAGTGAGTGTATTAATTTAGTAATATCAACCCAATTAGTACGTATTCCTCTAAAAACAGTACAATTCAAAAATGTTAGTTTTAGTGGAAGAAAGATGTCTAAGAAAAATTTTATGAGAGTTATTGGGGAATGTGGGCCAATTTATAAAAATTCTGACATTATTCAAATTCGATTTAGGTATGCATATGAATTGGAATATTGGGATAAAATATTAAATGAATTATGTGAACTCGCACATAATCAACGAAGTAGTCAAATGACTAAAAATGGTATTGGAAGAAAACAATATCGATTATTAGGAGAACAAATGATTAAAAATGAACAAGGATTAAGTGATTCTGATAAACATTGGTCTAGTACCGTCAATATGCTACTTCAATTACTTTCGTATCCATTCATTTCTAATACTGATTTACATAACTTATTAAGAAATAAAATTAATAAATTATTTGCATTAGAATTAACACAAAATCTTTCAATGAATCTTATTCAAATAGGAAATAATGTTCCTTATATTAAATCTCCAAAAGTGCAATGTAGTAATGAACCAGGCGCTATTACTATTGATGGGACACTTGATTATACAGGTCCTTTTGGAGCATCTTTTGTTTATGATTTTAAATTATTAAATATTAAAATTCAATTATCATTTTATATAACATCATTATTAGGTGATGTTAGAGTAAGGATATTAAAAATCCCATCAAGTACTCTTTGGTTTTCATTTCATGAATTACCAAAAATTGGTATTTCATATAATTTAAGAATAGGTAATTATGTATGTAAACAGTTACCTATAATAGAACAATATATTATTGAAATGATTAATTCTGCTATCTTAGAAATTTGTTATTCTCCTAAAATGTTTCCAATTCCTATTCCAAATTTCTCTATAGTTGATTATCTTAAAGACATAGGATCAAAAGTTGATGAAAAAAAAGAAATTATTGTAGAAGAACAACAAGAACAAATAAAAGAAGTTTGTATAGTAGAACAACCTGAAAAAAAGAAAAATTTTGAACTTAAATCAAAAGAAATAATTAAAAATACATTTCAACAACATATAGAATCAGTTCAACCTCAAAAAGAATGTACAAACCCAATTCCTAAAATTTCTCAACCACCAATAAAAGAAGAAAATCAAATCAAAGATACTCCTATTCCTCATAAATTAATTAATGAAGGAAAAGTTAGAATACCACAAAGTGGTACTATTGATAAAACACTTCAACCACATCCAATAAAAGAATTAGATATCATTTTTGATAAAGAAGACATTAACAGAGTTTATAATCATTTTATAAATAAATTAGACACTACTAAACCTTTAAATAAAAAACAACCACCAGCATTACCAAAAAAAGAGTCATTAATAAAATCTTCCACTTTAAAACAAATACCACAATCTACAACTAATCTTCATGACAAACAAACCCCATCTCTTCCACCAAAACAACTCGTAGAACAATCAAAGAAACAACTCCCATCTCTTCCACCAAAACCAATCTTAAAAAATTCTACTGAAATAATTTCTCAACAACAAAAAGAATGTCCACCATTACCAAAGAGAGATCATCCAACACAATTAATAACTAAACCAACTTTACCACCAAAACATGATACATTTATTAAATAATAATTTTTTATTAATTTCTATATTTTAAGATAAAATTTATATTATTTAGTTTCAAATTAATTTTATTCTAAAATAATTTCAATAAAAGTAAAATTGCATTAATTTGTTCTAAAAAATGTTATTATTCTTACTATTTTTTAAAGTTGATATTTCAATAACTAATAACTCATTTTACTTATCTCTTTTAATAATAATTAAAAAACAAAGACTCTACCTTCAAAGACAATATAGGTATAAATATAAATCAATAAATCTTATTTTATACGACTTCAATTTGTTCAAATAAAAATTAATTTTATGTTCATAAAAGAATATTCATTCTTCAAAGCAGAACTTTATTTTCTTCTTCTCTATTGAAATTAAAAAATTTATTTTAATAAATAGTTAAAAATTGAATTGAGTATTTTTCAATATCTTTATTAGTTTTTAAAAATACAAAATAATAGATGATTTAAACAAATTAAATTAGATAGAGTTAGTGAAAAATTCTTCTACATGAATTCTTGTTAAAGCATGAAGACAGCAAACTAAAAAAATAAGTTTTGGAAAAAAACAAAAATTGAATAATAAAGAAACACAAAAAAATAACAAACAAGAAATTGCTATCAAGTAAAGTAACCAAATAATAAGTCTATTAACACACAAGCAAAGAGTAAACAATGTTAATAAATAAAGTAAAATAAAAACTGTTGGATTTTGAGAGAATCTTTTTGATAATTTATTTCCGAATAAATATAAGGCAATGTTAATCACTGATTCAATGAAAAAGAATTTAAATGATAAAAACTCTGTTGGAAGTAATAATATAAATATAACCCCAATATAGTATTTAAGGTATGTAATTATGTTATTCTCGAATCTTAATTTAGCATTTATAGGAATTGAGTACGAAGATATACCACCTATAAACATCTTAAAATCAATTCGTTCATTAAACATATCGCTATTTAAATAACCTGGGACATCATCTAATCCTTCTTGAGAAACTCGGTCATATGTAGTTTGAGTAGTTTCTTCTTGATTCATTTTCAATTAATAAAATAATATATTCAGTTCTTATAATTTTTAAGTTATTCAAAAAAAAAAATATAATTAAATCTTATTTAAAAGTAAATTAATGGTATTAGTTTTTTGTTTTATTTTTGTAACAGCCACAAACCAATTCATATTTTTAAATATAATTTTTATTATCTTTTATTCGCTTAGAAAATATATTATCTAAATGAGAGGTGTGTTTCATTTTAAAATTACAATATATAAGTATTGCTAATAATCTAATGCTATTTTAAATTTTATGTTTGTTTAATAATTAAAATATATTTTTTTTTAATTAATAATTATTAATTTTAATAACTCATTATTTTTAGAAGCTTTTCTTGATAAGACAAAGAATAAAGACTGAAGTATATAGTATTTAATAAATTAAATAAGTAAATAAATTATTTAAAATAAAACTATATTATAAAATAAGAGTCATATTGTATAAATAAAATAAAGAAGTATGAATTTATTTATTTAAATTATTATTTATAAGCAATTAAAAGTAGATTCTATTTCTTCTTTCTATGAAGTCTTTTTTTTACAGTAATTTATTAATTCTATTATCCTATTATATTAATGAGAATTATTTATCCTTTGTGTACATATTTTAAGAGAACCTCAAATAATTATTTTACAACTAGTCATTATTATAATTCTTTCTAAACAAAAGAAATAAAAAGAAATATTTAAATTATTATAGAAGAAAGAAGTATTTCTATTATAAAAAAATAAGAAAAATAATTTTAGAAGAATAATAAAACAAAAAATTCAATATAATATGTATACATCATATATAAAATAGAAATTTAAAATCCAAAAAAGTATTATAAATTACAATTTTGTTAAGTAGATAAAATTATTTAGTTTTGTTTTTCAGTAAAAGAATTTGAGGGTTGTTGAGTTTGTGAATGATACTCAGGTTGTACATCTGTGTCATCTATTCGTTGCATTGTTGAGTTGTTAGGAAATTTTAAAATGATAATTGCTATCAACAAACAAACAGCAGTTACAAAACAAAAAGCTCCAACAACTAAACCAAGTACTCCAGTAATAAAAAAAGTAAGACATGATAAGATAAAATACCATAATGTAAAGAACCAATTTGAATTAACAAATGATTCTCTTTTAAAGAAAATGAAATAAATTGGATATAAAATTGTCATTAGTCCCATTACTAATAATGCAACGGCAACTAGAATTACCGCAAGAGTTGGATTTGTTTTTAGTCCCTCTATTAAAAATGATCCTGCTGAATTATATACAAAATGTAAAGCTCCTGTTAATATAACTACTTGATAATTTAATGTATTTCATTACAAATTAAAAATAAAAAAATTTACAAACAAATCCCCATAATTAATGACCATCCAATAAATACATATTTAAAAACCTTCTTCAATGAAACAAAGGACATAAATATTGAGTTTTTTATATTTTTTAGTAATACCAAAAAAAAACATTTTAAAAATTCATTTAAAAATTTTTGTTATTTATAGTGTCATTTCTAATAAAATTTTTATTTAATTTTTTATTTTTTTTTATAACAAATAAAAATGAAAAGATTGGATTATAATTGATGCAAAACGATAACTCATCACCAACTGTTAATCACCTTTCTAATGAAGATAAACAAAAAAAAGAAAGTGCTCCAAAAAAACGGTTAACAGCAAAAGAGAAAAGGGCAAACAGGATATTAAAAATGATGGAAGGGGCAAAAGAAGTTAATGCCCTTGATTTAGTTAAAAAGTCTGAAGAGGAGTTATTGAAACAAAAACCAGAATTTATAGTTTGTATATAGTAAAATTATAATAAAAAATGAAATCAGAAAAAAAAAGTAACAAGAAATAGAGTAATTTACAAACAAAATTCTATGAACCAAATGGAATATGTAAATCAAAGAACCAATTAAACTCATTGGCATTTAATTTCCAAGAAAATGAAGAGCGAATTGTAGAGCAAAAAATAACATATTCATTAAAAAAGAAAAGTGGAAGAGAAAAGTATGGATGGTAAATAAATAGGAAATAAAAGTTTTATATTGAAATTTCTTTTTAAAAAGTTAAGAAAAAAGTCAATAAAAAATTAAACTTAAAAACAAAAAGAGAGAGTATTAGTATGTTACTATCATTTATAATAGTACTCATCATTAAATATTCTAATGGAATTTATCAATTTAATTCAGAACTTGAATTTATATTTGAATCTGTTTGTAGTTTTAATCTTTTTTTTATTTATTAATTTAATAAGAAGAAATAATTATTATTAGAACCAAACTATTCCTTATGATACTCAATGTCCTGAAAATTTACAATCTATATCTACAACCGATTGCTCAAGAAGCAATTCATTTCTTTTTAACCCATTTATAAAACAATTGAAATACTAAATGACACTGTTTGTGAATATGTAAATATAACACTTCAGTATGGTTCTAATCTTGACTTATATTCTCCTCCTTCATTTCTTCAAATTAAAATCAATAACGACAAAAAACAATCAACTCTTAATACACAACCTTGGGGAACATTAGGAAATTGTATTAAAACTCTTATCTTTACAATGAAAGGAAATAGTGTTATTAATGGATTAAACTCAATTCAATTGATTGAGTTAAATAATATTTTATGTATCCATCTCTTTAAAGTTACATTTCATTTTAAAACAACACTTCCAGAAATTATTTCTTTATTTCCTTCTTCTGCACCAATTACTGGTGGTAGTTCTATTAAAATAACAACACAACTAAATATTAACTTTTCAAGAAAACTCTCTTGTTATTTTGATATCATTGAAGTACCATTCCAATATATTGATGACACTCATGGCTATTGTATTCTTCCTAGTATTACAACACTAAATAATTGGATTGATATAAATGTTATTTTGGAAAGACCAGGATTAAACCTTAATACTACTAATTCTTTTATAAAATTCAGTTTTTATAATATCACACTGACCTCAGCTGAATTAATAACATTTACTCAGTCCCAAGTTATTTTAGTTAAAGGAAATGGATTTTTATCATCAGATAATGCTAAATGTAAAATTAAAAAAGACCATGATGAGTTTATTGTAAATGCCCTCTATGAAGAAGAAACTAAACTTTTCTGTGATGTCGATAATATTATATCTAAACTTTTTAATTCAACACTAAAACTAGGCATTATTCTTAATGGCCAAGATGAATCTCCACAACACCTTTCATTTTTTATTCCAATAGAATCTCCTTCTAGTGTTTCGTTAAACCATCTATTGGTTGTTATTGTAATTTCTATATTAATTATTGGAATAATTGTATTGACATTAATATTTGTTATTCTTTGTATTGTTAAAGCTAAGAAAAAAAACATACTTCCAATTGAAGACTTTATTAATCCAAATGAAGTTGTTTGTGATATTATTCTTGGAAAAGGAACTTTTGGAAATGTATGGAAAGCAACTTGGAGAGGTCAAAACGTTGCTGTTAAATTAATTCCAACAAGAATGGTCATAGAAAATACTATTCTTCAATTCACAAAAGAAGTTCAATTAATGAAACATTTAAGACATCCTTGTGTTCTTCAATTCTTTGGGAGTGGAACAGATATGAATTATATCTTAATTGTTATGGAATTAATGGAAAGGGGATCAGTAAGAAATATTTTAGCTGATAAAAACATTTATCTTACTTGGAAAAGAAGATTAAAAATGCTCCATGATGCAGCAAGTGGAATGTATTATCTTCATAGTAGAATACCACCAATTATTCATAGAGATCTTAAATCAAGTAATTTATTAGTTGATTCTTTATGGAGAGTTAAGGTGAGTGATTTTGGATTGTCAATACCAATTAATAATAATAAAACAATTAAAACAACAATTTGTGGTACTCTTGCTTGGATTGCTCCAGAGGTTTTAGCAAGAAAACCTTATTGCCAAAAAGTAGATGTTTATTCTTTTGGAATTATAATGTGGGAATTTCTCACTCGAGATGTTCCTTATAAAAATCTACCTTTGACAAGTATCTCAGACTATGTTGTTAATGCTCGTTTACGTCCAAAAATTCCAGAAAATGTTGATTTAATGTATTCGAGTTTGATGGCAAGGTGTTGGAATGAACAACCATCAAATAGACCTGATTTTAAAGAAGTAGTAAATGTTTTAGATTCATTTATTACATCAAACCAAGAAATCGCTCTACCAAACTAAAAAGAATAAATTAAACACTACAAAAGAATTTTTAATTAAATTGTAAGATTCATCTTTGAGTATTTAAATTCAGTCAAACATCTTTAGTTAATTCAATTCCATTACTATCTTGACCATCATCATAATATTTTGTCGATTCATCAACATGACCATAATTCTTCCTATTAAATCTTTTAATTGCCAATAAAGAGAATCCAAAGATAATACATAAAGATACAGCATATCCTAATAATCCAGCAACCAATAATGTTTCATGATCAATAAATCTATAACAAGTAGCTTCTTTCACATTTGTTACTTTTGTATTTATTGAATCACAACTAATTAATGGAATAACTTCATTTGTAATAATATCGATAACTGATGTTAATGAATTAGCAACAGACAATAACGAATTCACAGTATCAGCGTATTGTTTATAATCTTCTGGACATGCTGTAGCACATTGGTCAATACCTATCTTAGTTGGACCAGAACATGCAACATCAGTTATGACCCATTTTCCTGAATTACCACTAGTTTGATAACTTGCTGACTCACATATAACTGGTGCAGTACTGATTTGAGCAAGAATTTCAGCTTCTGTTTTTCCATTAATATTTGAATAATCAATGTAATAGAACTTATAATCTGAAAATGTAATATTTTCAACAGTGTATACAATATCAGAAATTGATGCAGTATCACGATCAGGAGAAGCTGGACAGTTCATAGGAGAAACAGTAACAGTAGTACTTGTTGTATTAAGTTTTAAAACACAAGCACCATTATTGTTAGGAGATGTAGTACAATCATTATAATGGTCAGAATTCCAACGAATTAAACTGGAAGTTTCAATATTATCAGGACTACAAACAGTATCAAAGAAATCAACACCAATATCTACAACTTGTTTTTCAACGTCATAAAATTGATTAATCATTGTATTTAATTCAGAACCACTACAATTTTTAAATGTAGAAAGAATTAATTCAACATTACTGTCTGTATCGTTACTAACTTTATTTGGATCCATTGTTTCAATAAGATATACACAACTATCTGAAATAACAGTTACAATAGGGAATTCCACTGCAACTACAATAACTGCAATACTTGCAAAAATAATAGAACAAGGGAAAATTGAAATAGATAAACAACAACATTTACAAACAGCCCCAATAAAGAATAAAAGAACTCCAACTAATGGAACAATGAAAATAATATCTATAAAAACTTCCCTTGCAACCTCAATCCAATTAACTCCTTTCTTTGCTACAGAAACAGTATCATCAACTTTATTAATCTTATCATTTAATTCAGAAATAGTTTCTAATGTACTATTGAAACCACTATCATCAAAACCAGTTAAATTTTGTAATCCTGTTAAATCAATAGATTCCATAGTATTATATGTCTTTCTATAAATTTCAACCATAGAGTCATATGTGTCAAAGAAACTATCCTTTACATCTTTTAATGCAACTGTCATATTAGAATTTCCAACAAAACCAACTGCTAAGAATGGAATTAAAAAGGCTGCAAATATAACAATAGAAACAATTAACCAGAGCAACCAATCAAATGTAGAATAGGCTTTTTCATCTTTTGGACAACAAACTCCATGTCTAGCAGCACAACAAGGTCCACAACAACATCTAGTACAAGAAAATATAATTATAATAATAACGACAATAATAAAGAGAATAATAAGGAACGCAGATGGAATTGCCAAAGACTCCACATAAGGCTTAATAAAACAAGACTCAGTAATATCTTTTGTAATATTAAATCCTTCAGGGTTATTACAATAATTTAATGTCCCATTTTGGTCTTTTCCACTAAACCAATTGGGGTGATAAGCTCTATTTTTAGGAATAGAGTCCTTAGGATTTGGTGTAAAAGGTGGGTCAACAGTGGTATTAGTATTGTCACCAAGAACAATAACAAGTAAAAAACAAAGTAATAAAATAGTTGAGTGTTTCATTACGGCAATGAAATTATAAGATCAAAATATTGTTTTAAACCCCTTTTGTCGTTTCATTTTTTTTTGGAAAGAAAAGAGTTCTTCATTCCATAATCTAAATTTTCGGGCTTTTTTCCTATCATGACTATATAACATCATTTTGATTTTAAAAGATATAATATTCTGACGAAAGAAGAAAGTTTTTTTATTTTAATCGTTATTTTTTTGTAGAATATTATTTTAAGTTTTTTTGTAAAGGTTATGAGGGATACATTTCATTTTTATCTGAGTTATATTTAAAGAAACATACAATTTTGTTTTGTAATAAAATAGGAGTGTTTCCTATTTAAAAGAATAAAAATGAGTTTATCTTTGAGATACATAAATAAATACTATTTGTAAAAAAAGAACCAACTGAGAATAATTCTAGATAACAGCAAAGAGGGTAATAAATCAATTGAAAACTGAATGAGAGACTCAAGTATGAAACCGTTCTCTTTATTTAGAATTATTTATTTTCCAAAATTTAAGCTTGTTTATTAACTTAAAAATTTTGTAGTTTGGTTGTATTATAAAGGCTTTTTTAAAACAATAAAGTGTGACTTAATCACACTTATTAACTAATTTTAAATTCACTTTATTATTCACATTCATTATTATTTCTTTATTTTAAATTTTATTATTAAAAGAGATACTTTTATATTTATTATAACATTTTCAAAAAAGTTGATACAAATTAAGTTAATAAGAATATAACCAAATTACCACCTAGTTTTGTTGAAGATATTCTTTATTGTTCTTTCAATAGTGTATTAATTTCACTTTATTTTGATGATAAGAAAACAAGAATAAAATACAAATAAAGACAAAAAATAATAAGTTTTATTTGTCTTAATAACTATTAGAAATAATAATTATTTATATTATTTCAAGAAACATTTTTTCTCTTTTTATTGTCTTTATTCATTTTGAATTTTTTTTTATAATTTTTTCATTATAATAATTTATTTTAAGTTATAAAATATTGTTAAAATTCAATTTAATTAATTTTTCTTTAACAATTTGAATTTTTTAATAAAAATAATGAAATATAATATTATAATTAATTTATTATTAAGAAATTCAATTGTTTTAAAGTGAAATTGTTTTTGAAATAGATAACATATAAGGTAAATATTTTTTTGCTCTTGGACTTAAACATAACACTCCTTTTTTGTGTCTCATAGATTCTTTTTTTGAAGTTGGATAACAAAGTGGATTTCCATAAATGTCACAAACCATTCCTCCTTGTGCCTCAAGAATTACTTGTGCAGCAAGTGTATCCCAAGTACATGATTGAATTAATGGATGATAATAAATATCTGCTTCTTGGTGAATAATAGCCATCATTTTAGCACCAGAACCACCTTTATATTTAACTTCATAAGGATCAGGAAATGAATTAATTAAGTGTTGAATATCATTTTTTTTACTACATACAAAAATGATTTTGTCATTTAATGGTTGAAGTGAAATAGATGAAACATAATTCTCAATTGCAAATGTTATTTCATTATTATAAAATGGTTTGGAAACTATTCCTAACATTGGTTTTCCTTTATACGTTACTCCAACCAAAACACAAACACTATCATATTGTTTATGTGTATAACAATCTGTTCCATCAAGGGGATCAACATAAATAACAATATCATTAATATTAATTATTTTATTTTCTAATGAATCAAACGATAGTTGTGTAATTATTGGCAATTGGTTATTAGGAGTTCCACTTCCAATATCTTCTTCCCCAATAATATTAATTGTGGGATATTTATTTTTAATTATAGAAAATATGATTTGTTGTGACTGAGTATCAACTTGTGTTACTTCTGATCCATCAGATTTATATTTTATTTCAACTTCTTCTTTAAATTTACTGATGCCACAACTCGCTTCTTTTACAGCTGTAATAAGGACACTAGCAAATTCAAATAGTGAAGTTTGCATTATTATTTATTTAAAACCTTTTTTAAGTTCTTTTTATTAAAAAAGAAAAATTAAAAAATAAAATAAAAAGAACTTAATTATTTTATTTAAATTAGTAATGAATAACACAATTTTATTATTTGATATGGACGGAACATTAACTAAACCAAGAAACAAAATTACTCAAGAAATGAAAACATTTCTTCAAGAGGCTGGAAAAAAAATTGATTTAGGAGTTGTTAGTGGTTCAGATTTACCTAAATTAAAAGAGCAATTAGGAGATGATGTTACAGAATACTTTAGATATGTTTTTTGTGAGAATGGATTAGTTACATACAAAGATGGAGTTTGTATTGGTAAATTAAGTTTTAAAGAACATGTAGGACAAGAGAGATACAATAAATTAATAAATTATATTTTGATGGAGATATCTAAAATCGATATTCCAATTAAAACAGGAACTTTTATAGAATTACGTAGTGGTAATTTAAATGTTTCACCAATAGGAAGAAATTGTTCACAAGAAGAACGAGAAGAGTTCTTTAAATATGATAAAGAACATCATATCAGAGAACAACTTATTGAGAAAATAAAAAAAGAATTTAATGAATTAAATTTAGTATATGCAATTGGAGGACAAATTAGTTTTGATTGTTATCCAGTTGGATGGGATAAAACATATTCATTAAATTATATTAAAGACAAATATTCTCATTTTGAATTTTTTGGAGATAGAACTATGAAAGGAGGAAATGATTATGAAATGGCACAGTCTTCACTTATTAATAAAGTTCATCAAGTCAATGGACCAGAAGATGTAATGAAAATAATGAAAGAAATGGGACTTTAAAAAGAAAAAAAACAAATTTAATTTAAAGAGATTATTCTTTATTAATAAAATTTACTTGTTCAATTATTCTAAATGGATAATTGCATTATTTGATTGCAAAGCAAATGTTTCTTCTTTTGTTAAGAATAATTCTTGGGACAATATAAATGCAAAACTAGGAGATAATAATGTAGTTTCATTTTCTATTTGTTCAGTATAAACAACTTTATAACGAGCTAAAGCAACTAATCTTCTTGTTTTTTCTTCACAATTAAATAATTTATATCTATTTTTTAATTTTTCAATTGCATGTTCTTGAGAACCTTTTCTTAATGAAGAACCAATGAGAAATTCTATTAACCAATTTGGATTATTTTTTAAAATTTTATTTAATTTAACTGAATAATAAAACCATTGTTTTCTTGCTTGTTGAATTAAATCTTCATTACACTCATCTGCATCATTTAATAACTGTTTATTTGCATATTCTTTTCTTGAAGAAGACTTATATAATTTTTCTATTTTTTTTGCTTCTTGTTCAACAAATGTATTTAATAAATCATTAAATCTTTGGTGAGAAGTAATAGCATCTAAAGGTACTCCAAAAAAATTAATTGAATAAGGTATTTTTCTAATTCTAAATAAACATTCTCTTACTTCCATAATTTTATCTGTATGTTTTAATTTAATAAGTGATTCAGCAAATGATTGAAACGATTCTAAATCATTATTAATTAATGAATTTAATAAATGAGAATGAATAAACTTTTCTTGTTGAAAATTTGTTTGATTAATAATTCTTCCAATAAGACTAAAAAATGGTTGTTTTACTTCCATCATATCAATAACATTTTCAATATCAAGTTTCATTAATTCATCTTGTTTATCTTCTTTTCTTTCGTTTTCTTGAAATACAATAAAATCACTTCTTCTATATGTAAAATTAATAGAGTCAAATTCGGTATTAACATAATAATATGGGTCTTTTGAACTGAAAATAATACATCCAGTAAAATCATTTATTGGATATTTAGAATTTTTTATTATAAACCTTTGTAATGAAAGTGGATGTATATCATTATTATTAGCAACAAGTGCTGTTTTACCAAAAGATATTAATATATTTTTAACTAATCCTATTGCAACTTCCCCTGATTCTAATATTCCATAAGGATCTAATACTCCTACAAGTCTATATGAGGGATGTAATGGAACATGTCTTTGTAATAATAATTGAGAAATATTAATATGCTCTTGTAATGCTTTAGAAAAAGGTTCTTGTTCATTAATAATACTATAAAGATACTGTGAATTATCTTTTGTCATAATACTAGTAATTTTCTTTTCTGAAACATGTTTTTCTACTTTAGAAAATAATAAATCAGGTTTAACTCCATAATGTAATAACATTGCAACAACATTATGTGATATCATACCATATGGAACAGCATTTGATCTATCAAACAATATAATTTGGCCAATATCACCAATAGAACTTAACATTTGACGATGAACATAAACAGTATTTTCAATTGTTTGAGATACAATAAAATCACCAAAATATCCTTTATATAATAATCTTAATAATGTTGGAACACTATAAACTGATTTCTTATCTCTTGATATTTTAGACCAATAAAAAGATGCTAAATCATAAGATATAATACCTGTATATGTTAATTGGTCTGGAATTATTTCCATTATAGTGACATCTGGATAATATGTTCCATCTGTGATCTCTATTGGTATTGCTTTTTGAAAAATACTAAAATAATGAATACAATTGATTGGTGATACTTTATCTTCTACTCCTGGAAAATGACTTAAAAATTCAAGAGAATTACGACTATGAGTAAAATCAATAAATACTCCAAATGGTTCATTTCTTCCAATAGTTCCAATATAACTAAATTTATATTGTCCAAAAACAATACAACCATTATTCATTTGATCTTCTGTTGGTCTACAAACAATAATAACATTTCCTAATTTAACATCATCTTTAAAAAAGAATTTAAATACAATTGGTTGATGGTCTTTTTCAATTCTAAATTCTTGTGTTGGTGTTAATTTTTTAGGATTATTTATAAACATCGGAATATATAAATTTTCATTTATATCATTTCTTTGTTTAAACTCACATCTCTCCATAACAAATTCTTTTTCAAATACATTTATTTCATTAATTTCTTCAACTTCATCAAAAATTTTTTTTGGTAATTCTTGAATATTTTTCATAAAATGTTGTGCTCTAATTGAGTCAAGAATCCAATATCTAGCAAATGAATACTTTGGTTCATTCTTTTGTAAATTAGTTTTAGGATTAGTATTATTTCGTTTTGGTATGTTTTCATTACTATTTCCAAGATCAACTTCACTCACTTCTGTTCTTGTTGATGGTTCTGTAATATCTGTACATGTCTTTTGTAATTCTTCTCCAAATTCTATTGAAATATCATTAATATTTACCCTATTTAATATTGTTTTTAAACAAATTTGATTTGGTATTGTTAACAATGCATAATATTTTTTTAAATATTTCATTTCTTTTTGTGTAAATGGTTGTTTACGAAATGAAATAGAATTGAAAACTTGGTTAATACAATCATTAGCTCTTAACTGATTGTTTTCTTTGACACAATTTTTAACAAATATCATAAAATTGTCTGTAAATACTGTGCTTTCACTTCCTTCATTCGTGCTCATTGCTTCAAAAGTTTGAAAAACTTTTTTTTTTTTAATAATTTCTCTTTTTTTTTAATGAAACTTTTATTGTAATCTAAAAGAACATCCAGTTTTATAAGAAGTTATTTCTCCTGAAATGATTAAAACTGTTTTAATAGTGTGACTATTATAAACGTACTGAAAACAAAACTAAGAGCGAGACGTTTTTTAACATTTCATAAAAAGATTCTCTTTATTTAAATTACTATTGTTTACTTTAACTTTAATAATAATCATAAAAGAAAAATCTCTTAAAAGATTTAACAAAGTATAAAAAGAAAGACAATAAACACAAATAGAAGAGAGGTAATTTTCAATATAGATAAAAGAAAAATAAAAAAATTAATACAAGAAATAAAAAGTATACTTAAATGTCGTATTAAAAATTAATAGAAATAATACATAGAATTTGTTATAAATAGAGATGAATATCATTTACACTATATTATTATTTAATGAATACCTTTATTTAGAATCAATATTTTTAATCTTATTTCTTATATATAAATATTTGATTATTACATTTATGAATTTATTTTTTTCATTATAGCTTATTCTTATAATCTATTATTGCACAATTTCATTTAATTCACTTATTTTAATGACAATATTCATTCTTGAATTTAAATGATTTCATATATTCTTCATAAAATGTAAACTTGAATAGAAATAAAAATATATAAATAACATGATTACATTATTAATGTTATTTAAAACAATAAAAATGAAATAATGTTTATTAAAATAGTAAATAAAATGATACGTTATAAATGTGTATTTAATTATTTAATCAGTGGATTTTGATCTGATATTTATTAAATTAAAATGGAAGAGTTAATAAACAAGAACACTCAATTCTTTAAAGAAGAAATAGAAACACTTCCAAATATTCTACAATCAATTGATGATATTAATAAACATTATCATTATTATTTAGGATGTATTAAAAATGAAATGTTTGAAATACAAGATAATGAAACACATGAACAAGCAATTAAAAGAGGAGAATGAATATTTGATAGGATTGATGAAACAGAAAGAAGAAGAAAATTAGTAATAGAAAAAAGTCAAGAAACAATTAAAACAATGGAAATAATTAAAAATAAAATGAATAAAATAATAGAAGAATGCAATAATGATAGAAATACTAAGTAAAACATGAAATAAATTAATCAATAAAATCATTTCAATTGAAGAAATGGTCATGAAAGATAAACTATTCAGAACACCAAAAGAAAAAGATAAAATCACACAACCATTTAACAAAAAGAAAGAAGAATGGTTTACACATATTATAGTGATTATTTTGAGAGGAAGAAGAAACAAGAAGAAGAAGGATTAAGAATAATGAAAGGAATGAGCACAATGGAAGAAATGAAACAACTAGAAAAATGGACTTCAAGAAGAGTATCCAATATATTATTTGATTCAGATATTGATGATTGGAATAAGAGTACATCAGTATTTA